GCTGGCTTGGTTGGCGGATCCGGTTTGCTTGATATGATTGTTTTGATTGGTTTGGTTGTTGGATCAGCAGTAGATGTAAGATCAACAAGTTGAACATCAGTAGGGGGATCTTGGATGACTAAAGACTTGACAAAGACGGTGTTGATGGTGGTGGAGGTGAGTGGGTCCATCCAGGTGATGGTGTTGGAAGGGACGGGGCTGTACACCAGATGATTCTGGGTCAGGTTGCTATAGTATAGGGCCACTCCCTGCGGATCATAATCTACTTCAGTTAGGGCTGGGCACGTTCCGACTTTTTTGAAATCTTTCCATTCTGTTCTAGAACGAGGGCCTTCAGCTAAATCGTTCCATTCTTGTTCCTTTTTTTTGGATTGTTCAGTTACGTTCTGTTCCGTTCTGAGTAGAAGAACGGTCTTCCCGTTCCGTTCCGTTCTTGGCGTTCTTATTTAAAGAACGGTTCCATCCCTCTTGTTCCGTTCTTAGTCAAAGAATGTTTCCATCCCCCCGTTCCGTTATTAGTATTGAACGATTACTAAAGCCTTAAAAAAGGGGGTGTATAATTTGTAGATTTTTGAAAAATATTTAATTTTCATAATCAATATTTCAATTATATCAAAAAGAAATAGAAATAAATTATAGAAAACAATTTCTTTCAACTTAAATTCCCCCCCCCCCTCTCCTTTTCCACCTTTCAGCTCCCCTTCCTCAAGAATGTAATGCCCGTTAAACCCATATAGCCAAATTGCGCAAAAAGAGCGCAAATTAAACGTCACTTTTCGCATTTTTACGTAAATTTTACGTAGAGATTTTGGTTCTTTTTACGTCATGAAAGACGTAAAATCGCACACTTAGCTACACAAATTTATTGGTTTTAGTACACGTTGAAAGTGCGCATTATTATTTTCTCAATAAACATGTCGGCTCTCTATTACCAAAAATTATGCTAAATCTAAGCAAATTTGATGCATGCAGATATGCCATCCATCCCTGCAGTCGGATGGATGGATGCAGTACAAGTATCTCTCTCTAAACTAATTCCATTCATCAGGGAATACAGTTTAACATTGAGATTACTGCTTATAGCTTTATAATTAATATGGAGTTATAAAAGTTATATAAATTTTTCTGATAGAAAATTCAGTGCATTTTCCTAGTAAAAATGTTTTGTTTTTTTAAATTAAAAATAATTTAAAACCTAAATCTTGACTTCTAAATGATATACTTTTAGTAAAAAATTTAATCTGTACCTTTTTACTTTTTTAAATGTTTCGTAAAACAAACAGAGACACCTAGCGGTAAAATTTGGTACTAAAAACCAGTGTGCAATTTAGCGGTTTAATTTCTCTGCCCAATTACCCCCCCCCCTTCCCACTCTTATCTACAAATCACACGGCTTTCTATTTAATATATCATTATATATTGCTGCACTCTGCACTGCAGTGCACACACACCTAGGCCACTCAATTCTTCAATATTTAAAACACTCAAAACATATGCGTAAAAAGAGCGCAAATTTTACGCAATTTTAATGCTAATAAAGACCATTTAAATTCTTTTAAAAAGTTTATTTTTTCAATTTATTTTGATAAATGCAATATGTGCCGTATCGGAAATTTTAGATATTTCACAAATAATTTAGATTTAGAATTTTAGGCAATTACTTAAATTGAGTGTATTTTTACGCAATTTGTATACCTGAAATAAAATGATACACATCTCCACAAATTCATTATATTTTTACTTAAAGCTGGGTTATAAAATATTTACTTTAGAAAAATTAGATATTTACACTACTTTGAAATCTAGACTTACGCAAATTTGCGTTTTAATTGCGTAATTGGAGCCAAAATATTATGCGTTTATGATGCTTCCGCAATTTGGATAGCTGGGAACCCATGTATCCTCTTAGTTATGCTTGTACTTTTACCTAGCAACACATACTTATGCAATACACATACGCATATAATTATATTCTTACCCTTTTATAACCGTATTTTTTCCCTTTTACCCCCCTCCCTCCTTACTTTCCTATATTATTGTGTCTAATGTCATTTACTATTTAATTCATATGTTTAATTTTGGTTCACTACATGCATAGAAAATCTGAACTGGAAACACATTCCTGATTAAAACTGCGTTCCCAACTTACAATGCGTTCTTGAAAATAAGAACGCCTTAACAATTTTAACTGTTCTTTTTAAGCAATTCCCATTCCGTTCCGCTCCGTTCTGTTCTTTTACTAATTTCGTTCCAAAATTTTTAAGAACGCATTCTAAGCGTTCGTTTTTTTTTTGAGCGATGGGATCGTTCTTGATCGTTATGTTCGTTCTCGGGAAAGAATGATCGTTCCACCAGGAACGCGCCCAGCCCTAACTTCAGTAGGGAAGACAAGGTTGTTGTCTCCACCCAGCAAGATGGAGATCTGACTGGTGTTTTGGGACATATTTTCTTGCACTAAGCGCCACAAATACAGATATGGTATTGTTAAAAAGCTTAAATAATACTGTCTCCAGTGTAATCTAGTCATGATATAATTGATACTGATATGATATTGATATGATATTCTAAAGGAATAAATAATATATTTTTTAAAGTTTTTTGCTCTTTTTCAACTATTTTAATTGTAATGGTATGATTATGAACAGCAGTGTCGCAACTAGCTCACTTGTGTGAGGGGGAGCAAAATTTAAAAGGGGGGGGGGTACAGGGTGGCTAGCTCCCTGGTGAAAAATTTTTCCAAAAAAGTGCTGTTTTTAGGATTTGAAGAAGGGTTAGCTCTGTGGTCAAATTCAAATATTAACCTTGGCTTGTTCTTTTGTTTAAAAATTATTTTTTCCCAACAGCTATAAATAGACGACATGAGTAAATTAATTAAACATATGTAGTTTCATGTATTTGTTAAGAGTCTGTTATTGTTTCGCACCCCTGAGTTTCGATCAGCATAGTTGCCCCTGGAGGAAATATTATTTGCAGAACAGAAAAACTGATAACCGGTTTATGAATCTGTATAGGCAGCCTACTGGTTTTTTTGTACTTTCTCTCAGTGCTCAGTGTTGGGGGATCTCTTATATTTTAAAGCATATATAGTTCTTTTTTACATGCATGAAGAAAATCCGTTGCATTTATTGAAAAGGTGTTTGTATTTTCAGAATATAAAACGTTATGACTGGTTTTCTAATAGTCTAGAGATTTTGCAAGACACTATGAGGTTAGTACAGAGGTTACTTTTGTAAATACAGCATTTTTAGTAATATTACATTAGTAGCATTCTGGAGTCTAATAACAAGGGCTGGGCACGTTCCGACTTTATTTGAAATCGTTCTGTTCCGCTCTAGAACGAGGGCCTTCAGCTCAATCTTTCCATTCTTGTTTCTTTTTTATTGTTCCATTCTCGTTCCGTTCCGTCCCGTTCCATTCCGTTCCGTTTGTTCCGTTTGTTCCGTTCTGAGTAGAAGAATGGTCTTCCCGTTCTGTTCTGTTCTTGGCGTTCTTATTTGAAGAACGGTTGCATACCTCTTGTTCTGTTCTTAATCTAGAATGTTTCAATCCCCTGTTCTGTTCTTAGTAACTAACAATTCCATATAAGACAAAAGTTTTATAGAAAAGTGTTGGTTAAAATGTAAAAAAATTACGATTTTTTAATAAAAAGTTCCTCACAACCGTAAATAATACTTTAAATTATATATTTTAAATTTAGAGTTAAAAGAATAAGCTTAGATAAATTCTGGGCTGAGCAATGTATAATTTTGTGAGAGCGGGGTGAGGGGCGGTAGTGCTAATATCCTTAATATGTACAATGGGGGGAATGCAGGTTTAAAGTGGGTGGAGGGGAGAGAGGTCAGGTGATAAAAATAAAGTTCTTGATAATTAGAACCCGTTAACGGTTTTAGCTGTTCTTTTCAAGCAATTCCCGTTCTGTTCCATTCTTTTACTAATGGTTCCAATATTTTTAACAATGCGTTCTAAGTGTTTTTTTTTTTTTGACTGATGGGATCGTTCTTGATCGTTCCGTTCGCTCCCAGGAAAGAAGGATCATTCCACCAGGAACGCACCCAGTCCTACTAATAACCTTTTTTTCTCTTTCAAACCTGTACTTATTTCAGAAAGAAGAAATGGGGAAAGTTACAGGGGTTCAGACCGGCCTTGCAAAATCATCTCCAGGTAAAATTACGAATTGCTCTGTTCTGAGGGAAGCTTCAGTGTCGCTCAACATTTAGTCCCTGGCTTAGTCATTCACAGTGTATATAAAGTTCCCAATTACAGTCCACAGCAGTTTTTGTAATTCTCTCACTAGTCATATTTGTTCACTACGTCCCTTAATCGTAGGTCTGTGCAGTCCTAAGTAGTAAATAGTTCCTTGCAGCGCTTGACTATGTAGCCCCCTATAGGGGGGGGGGAGGCTAAACTTTGTTTGCTACCTCCCTAGTTGTGCCACTGAATTGGTCAGAGGACCAATAGTCAGGTAGGTTAATATAGGTTTTAAACTTTTTAAAAAATTTGTCCCAATGATGTTCAAAGCAAATCCCGGAATCTGCTGATTTTATTCATTAAACCAAATAGGATAGTAAATTTATTAAATAAACTCAAATCTGTGGAAAATTAATTGCAATATATCTCATGACTAAAGCCGTAAATAGACTAATGATAGCTTAGACCTGAGTCGTCTTTTCCCGAATTTTTTAGTTTAGCGATTTGAAAGTTACTTCAGAGTTCTGATAAAGTTGGCGTATTTCACCAATTGTTCAGTCGTTAGAAAGTGAAATAGTTTGAGTTCATTATATAGATCAAATTGATATTTTTAACCCTCTATTTCTGATGAATATTATGAATCCTTCCTTGTACAATATCTTTGTACTGCATAGCTTCAGACATTACAGAGTTTTGTGTGTTAGCATCAGGCCCCATTCCCAGTAAAAAGACCAGTCTAAATAAAGAAAGAGAAATATCTTTTGTACGCGTAATTTCAAGTGAACTTTCATTTATTGAGAGGTATATCCTATTCACAATGGTACACTTTAACACTGTGTCCAGACAACTATGAGGAAGATACCCTCATTAATATATAGCTGAAGATAGAGTGCAAGGAGACTCAAGGTAACAGTACACGTATAAGTGTATGCTTTACAGAGTACTCTGTTAAGCCAATCCTTCCATAAACTACATTTGTCGACAACTTGACGTCTCCTATGTTGGTCGTCAAGTGTACGGAGAACTTATCTAACAGATAAGAAGTTAGCATGCTAGAAATCTAGCAGCCAACATATCATCCCCCAAAGTTTGTAAACTACAAGAGAAAGACCACTATCTATGTAGAGAGCAGGCTCTGTAAAGTGTACACTTCGTGCTAGTGTACACTTATTCGGTTTCTTGGCCCTTAATTTCCCGCTATAAAAATAAAAATATCTATTAAACTTTGAAACTTGATCAAACAAAGGTTTAAAGGATATCGTTGTAAATCAGACAATTGCCACTCTATAAATGGAAGGTCACTTGAAATTACGCTTTCAGTCCCTTAAGATATTTGTTTACATAACTTTTAACAACAGTGAATAATAGCCGACTTTTAAATTGGATGAAAATGGGTTATTCAACAATGGTATGAGGTTTTTTTCATAGTAAATGAATTTTTCAGTTAAGCTCAATTTTACTGTGTCACTGGCTTAGTAATCTATATCTATAAGTCAAAAATGCTATCGCTAAATGCATTTATACTAGGTTATATTTCTGATAGTAAAATGAAAAATTGTGGCTTTTGGGGGAAAATGTGAACATTGCCACTTGTTGTACCTTGTATTTACTCCAGGTATATTAGGGTTACCCCAAGTCTCTCTGTGATTACATTTATCAAATTTTGTGTTTTAAAAACTACTTTTTACATTCGATTTACTTTACATGGCGATTTTCGGCTGATTGGTGTCACTCCTAAGGGAAATCCTTGAATCTCGAGAACAGAGACTCCTAGGAGGGGGGGGGAGTCCAGAAATCCTCAACGAGTAATCACCGCCACCCAAATGTGTTTTGAGACAAGCGCGCTTCTCAATTGGTAATCTCCACCACCTCAATTGGTAATCATCCAAAATAAGCGTAACATTAAATCGGTTATTTCTTAGAAATAAGACCATATTGACCTCTGTTAATGGCCCTATGGTGTACAATATTGTTATAGCTAATTTTTCAAAATTTTATGTTCTTTCTATGCATATAATTAGTCTTGTTGTAGATGTTGAACTCAAGTAGGCGAATACAAAAATCTAAACACTGTAAAGGTTTTTTGAAAATATCTTTTAAATGGAGATGGATATTACTTTACGTGGGATGAGATAATTTTAAGTAAACAGGCAGCCCGACCTTTTAGTATCTTAACGCCAATCATGAAATGCAGTCATTAAATGGGCGAATTGGATCTAAGATTCGGCTAAAATGTACTGTGCCTTGATTCTCAGTTTTTGTTGACCAAACAAATCTGAAAATAATTTGAAAATTTAGTTTAAGTCAATACAGATGCCATAAAACCCCGATAGATGTCGAAAATTGTGTTAAAAGTGCATTAAATTCAAATCTCAGAAAACAAAATTTTACGGTGATTAATACTAATTGAGGTGGTGGAAATTTCCAATTGAGGAGTGCGCAATTGCCGCAAAACACATTTGGGTGGCGGTGATTACTCATTGAGGAAGTCTGGACTCCCCCCCTCCTCCTAGTGGCCAAATAATCGTCGTTTAAAGTACATCGTATATATAATAAGATAAAAAATATTATGAGATATCAACTTTATACGAAAGCATCGAATTCAATTCAACATTTATAGGTTGTAATATCTGAATTATTAATTTAAAATTGAGTTGAAATAAATTTACGATCTGAGTGGAACAATGCAACTCTGTGAATTTGTATAAGGTATAAGTATTCTTTCACCCTCTTCTCGATCCTTATATACAAAACAGATAAAAGTAAAATTAGTAGCGATTGATATCGAATTCAATTAGATATTGCACTCCCCTTTAATTTTTCACAAACACTCCTTTTAAGCATGAAGTGTAAATTAAACTCAACTTTCATTTTATGACAAGTTTTTATTTTAATTTGAATTTTGATAAGTCTCCTGATTGCATTTCTAGCCTCCTTATTTGGGACTGCAGAGTGTATAATTATTACCATTCCTAGACAAACATTTTGTACGTTGGATTTCATGATGGAAAGACATGACATTGATATAAATAAAAATTTAAAGAGTGGTTTATATGGAAAAACATGTCATTGATATAAATAAAAATATAGAGAGTGGTTTATATGGAAAGACATGACATTGATATAAATAAAAATATAGAGAGTGGTTTATGTGGAAAAACATGACATTGATACAAATAAAAATATAGAGAGTGGTTTATATGGAAAGACATGACATTGATATAAATAAAAATATAGAGAGTGGTTTATATGGAAAGACATGACATTGATATAAATAAAAATATAGAGAGTGGTTTATATGGAAAGACATGACATTGATATAAATAAAAATATAGAGAGTGGTTTATATGGAAAAACATGACATTGACATAAAACAAGAATATAGAGAGTGGTTTATGTGGAAAAACATGACATTGATATAGAATAAAAAATATAGAGAATGGTTTATGTGGAAAGACATGACATTGATATAGAATAAAAAATATAGAGAGTGGTTTATGTGGAAAGACATGACACAAATATAAAATAAAGAATATAGAGAGTGGTTAATGTGGAAAGACATGTACACAAAGAGAACATGTTCACAATTAATTTAGAAGATGGGCGCGAAGCGCCCTCTAAGGCTAGGAAATATAGAATAAAAATATGGATAGTGGTTTATGTGGAAAGACATGACACAAATATAAAATAAAGAATATAGAGAGTGGTTTATGTGGAAAGACATGACATTAATATAAAATAAAAATATAGAGAGTGGTTTATCAAGGAAAACTATAAAAGTAAAAATAAATAGAGTGGTTTATGTGGAAAGACATGACATAAATATAGAATAAAAAAATATAGAGAGTGGTTTATGTGGAAAGACATGACATTAATATAAAATAAAAATAGAGTGGTTTATGTCATTTAAAGATTCTCGACAGAAATTTTTTTTAAGCTTTGTCTCATCAAGAATGAATAAAATAGGTATTTCAATTGCGGCTTAAAAATTGACTTGCGGATTTCTTGCTACAGAAATGAAGAATATCGAGAAAATTTAAGAATTTTCAGGCTAAAACGTCGATATCCGAAATAAAATTTTATATCGAGCTGTTTGGTTTCTTTAGTAGGGCCCTACAGGAAAACTATGTATTGGCGAAACTGGTGAAAGAAAATTGAGCCAATACATATTTTTCCTGTGGGGCCCTACTAAAAAATCAAACAGCTCGATATAAAATGGAGTACCATCTGCAAAGCATGTATAATCATATGGTAGGGCGAACCGCGTCAGTTGTCTCTCCCTTCTATTCCTTGCTCCCTGGGTGATATGTTTTGTATGGGCTCCAAAAATAACTGTCACTTTCATAACGTTAAACATGTATAAAATATAATATCAATAATTGCACAAATGTATAAAAAAATACTTTTCTAAACTTTTAATTGCGCAAAATGTCAAGAAAAATATAGGCATTTAGTTTTTTTTTCAGGCTTGGAGGTTAAATGGAATCCAATCTGATCTATTCATATATATATATATTTGACTTGTCTGTCTGTTTGTTTGTATATAATAAATTGAAACGTCAAAACTACTGAACAAATTGAGCCCAAATTCTGGATTCTCACATGACCCCAGGAAAGTTTATGGAAATTGAAAGAAAATGTCGATTTTGATATGATTTTTTTTGGCTTGAAAAGCAACATAAATCTACATTCAATACAAGAACAGGGGCATTGAGTGTCATTGAAGCCTTTAAACTTATCAAGCAAAATCTTAAAACTGTTTTGAGCAATTGATATTACGAAAAATGTTATATCTACCTATTTGTGAAACATTACAAATATCAAAGTTGATATTGATTTTAAAATTGTTGATATTGATAAGGGTTATGTTATCAGGATGTAGGTTAGAATGTACATGAGGTATATTGGAAGCTACTGCAGGTAGAGTAGAGGGTTTATGTACAGCTGCAGATATTTTATCTAAAATTAGATTTTTTAAGAAGTAGATAATTAGGGTTTCCGACATCACTACATTTTTACTTACCCAAAAGGATGTATAGTTAGTTACGCTAAAATATTTAAATTTCGAGAAATTTCGCAGTGGTACCATAATTAGCGAAACATTAATTTTGCGAAATTATGCTCAATTTCGACCTAATTTCGCACAATTACGGCCAAATTTAGCAAAAATTTTTGAAATTAATTTTGCAAAATTTTGTAAAATTTTGTAGAATTACGCATTATTTGAGAAATTTCAAATTTGCTTATTAAGGCCGAATTTTGTGAAACACCTTGATGGATATGATCAATTTCACAAAAATAAGCGTTATTTGAGAAATTTCGAATTCCCGTAATTCTAAACTAAAGATTCAAGGCTTATACATATTTTTAATATTCTATATCTATATATTTTAAGCATTCCATATATGTTTTTAAAGGATGTCTTAATTTTAGTTACTTCAAGGTATACATTTTTTGCACATTTTTTGAGCAACATTATTATCCTTGTTCATCCCTCTTTTTCTCCAAGAGAACAGTGTAAATATATATTTTTGTTCACCCAAGGAAGAGAAAGTGATAAATTGCAAATTTACATGAGAAAAAATTGCGCATTTACAAAATTTAAATTTAGATTTTACATGGGCAAAGTTTTAACAAAAATACACTTCAAAAACTTTAGACATATTAATACCATCAAGAACACAATTTAATATACTTATTAATGTTGCTAAAGGAATATGATAAAACTTCTTATTTACTTGTAGAGAGAATTTCCTTCAGAAGAATTTCACTTCACCGGAAATTGACTTTTCCTCATGTTTCTCGACTTTTTTGATGACATGTTTTTCCCGCACTTGCACTCATGATAAAATATCCGGAAGCATAAAAGGAAAGGGAGCGCCAGGCACAAAACGCACTAAAACCCGCAATACATTTCAAGAAATGATACGTTCTATACTGATCGATTTCTGTTTAAGTAATTTTGTGTAATTACGCTTTAATTTAGCCAAACTAGAGTTTCTTTCATACACGTAATTAACGAGTTATTTTGCGTAATGCTCATGCATAAGTTAAAGAAATTGTTATGCGTAGTTACATTACTTTCCAGTAACGTTAATACAACTAGAAACCCTATCAAATAATGTGAAAAAAGTTTTTGAAAATCAAATGGAGACTTCCAACAATGCTTTTAATGGACTCTTTTTGGAATGCCTAGAGAAACCTAAACTAGCAAGCCGTGAGTTTTCCTTGCAGTGGAAATAAATCAATATGTGTTTGCATAATTTTTTAATTATAAAAAACCAATTTTTAGATAAAGAAATTTTAACTGAAAATATGTACCTTCTAAGCTCAGCTTAGCAGTGATATTTACTTTGTTTTTAGGAATACTATTGTTCCAATCCTTAGATATCTCATTTTCAGTTTGGCTTAACTGAACAAACCTAAATTTTAATTCATCTGAAATTTTCAATAAAACTCAATGAACTTCTTTTGAAGAACCGGGCCAACTTTTGTTTATTTCATGAAATAATACTTTAAAATTTTAGCAATGATATTTTAGATATTGCCTAATTTAAGTGGTTATCTTATAAAGTCTCATCTGTGATATTAAATTTTTGGTTAAAAAAAAAACAATAATTATTGCTAAAATTATCTCTTCATTCAAGGATTAAATTGCTATTGCTAAAGGTATCTGTATTCCAATATTAAAATGCTTCAAGCATCTCTGAATTCAAATACTAAATTGCTTAAACTATCTCTTTACTCCAATATCAAATTGTTAAAAATATCTCTGTATTCAATTATTATATTGGTAAAAGTTTCACATTATTTAATAATTAAATTTCTTAAAGCATCTCTGTATTCAATTATCAAATTGCTAAAAGTATTTTTGTATTCAAATATCAAAATTGGAAAAAGTGTCTCTGTATACAAATAACAAATTGCTAGAGGTATATCTGCATTCAAATATCAAATTCGTTAAAAGTATTCAAATATCAAATAGCTAAAAGCATCTCTGTATTCAAATATTAAATTGTTAAAAGTATCTCTGTATTAAAATATCATATTGCTAAAGTATTTCTGTATTTAAACATTATATTTCTAAAGTATCCCTATATTCAAATATCAAATTGTTAAAAGTAACCTGTATTTAAATATTATATTGCTAAAGTATTTCTGTATTTAAATATTATATTGCTAAAGTATCTCTGTATTTAAGTAACAATTGCTGAAAGAATATTAAAATATTAAATAATATTAATATAAATATTAAATTACTGAAGTATCTCTGTCTTCAAATATTAAATTACGAAAGTATCTCTGTCTTCAAATATTAAATTACTGAAGTATCTCTGTCTTCAAATATTAGATTACTAAAGTATCTCTGTCTTCAAATATTAGATTACTAAAGTATCTGTCTTCAAATATTAGATTACTAAAGTATCTGTCTTCAAATATTAAATTGCTAAAAGTATCTCTGTCTTCAACATTAGATTACTAAAAGTATCTCTGTCTTCAAATATTAAATTGCTAAAAGTATCTCTTTCTTCAAATATTAGATTACTAAAAGTATCTCTGTCTTCAAATATTAGATTACTAAAAGTATCTCTGTCTTCAAATATTAGATTACTAAAATTCTAAACAAAGAGCAACAACAAGAATTTGAAACACTATTTCTATGTGTTTTTACCTTTCTCTTGAAATAATTTCTTTATCATTTATGAATAATGCCATCGTTACTAGAACAACTATCACATAAAAAATGAAATTAACTTTGTTAATAAGAACAAGTTTTTTCCTCTTTCAGACCCCCCCCCCCCCCCCCGGTATACCGGACCCTTTAAACCTGTCATGATAATAAACTTACATATTTTTTTGTCTAAGATTTTTTTTTCAATTGTGATTTATTTTTAACTGTGGATAAAGCTTTTGAAAAAAGAACCAAATTAAATAGATACCTTTCAAACGACAATATGTTTCCATTGTATTTCAGATAATGAAAAGATACAGTTGTGAATCGACCACTCTGAAAATTGAGGCTTATTTAAAATGACCTCCACAGTCCCTGCAAGAAAAGAACTTAATATTCACCTGCAGCAACTATTCTTCTTTTATTTGTCATCTTCATTCTGGAAAAGAACGTGCTGAATCATTCATATTATTCTCATTCTCATCGTTTTTTCTTTTAGCTTTTGATTTATCAAAACTAACAAACCTTCGTTTTAAAAAGAAATAAAGTGAACAGTTGAAGGGAGTGACCGGCTATGTAAGGTAGTTAAACTGAGTATGTACTATGTAGTGTTGTGGACAAATTCTTCATTTGAGACATATAAAACTTTTTAAAGATAAGTAAATCCTGAGTTTGAACGTAAAGTTGACGTTCAAAATCATAAATTTGGGTGGGTACGTTCTCAGAATCGTTTTTTTAATTTATTAAGTAACAAGGAAAAATAAAGTAAAAATTCGACAGTAAACTAATATGATGGTTAGGAACATATTTCTAAAAAGAAATTTGTCAATTAATTAATGCTAGAGTTAATTATTTTGTTTTTATCATTTAATTGAATTTCTTATTTTCTATTAATTTATTCACTGATTTCTACAAATATTTCAAATGTCGTCTTTTCAATAATAATTCCAGAACATCTTTGTGAATAATGAGAACTAGAATAATGATAAAATAGAAACCAATAATTAAACAATATTACTTATTTTCGATGAAAAGATTATTTTTTATTTTCTCAACCTCTTCCTAAACAACTATTTAGTTTACTGTAGAATTTAGTTTACATTTTTTGTCGTGGTTATTTGATGATTTAAAAAAAACAATTCTGAAAATGTTTCCACCCAAAAGTATGATTTTGAACGTCGGCTTTGCCCTCAAACTCAGGTTTTACAGATCTTTAAAAAGTTTTGTATGTCTAAAATGAATTCGAAAGAATTTGTCCACAACACTGCATACTCAATTCAACTACCTTACATAGCCGGTCGATGTCCCTTTAAAATTTTTACAAAAATGCTCGTTTTGAACTTTTGAAAACTAAAACGAAAGAACTATATTGTTACCATTCAAAAATGGTCGAAAATAAGGGAAATATAAAGCCTAAAACTGATGTTCTGATGTGAATAAGGGAAATATAAAGCTTAAAACTGATGTAAATAAGGGAAATATATAGCTTAAAACTGATGTGAATAAGGGAAATATAAAGCTGAAAACTGATGTGAATAAGGGAAATATAAAGCTTAAAACTGATGTGAATAAGGGAAATATAAAGATTAAAACTGATGTGAATAAGGGAAATATAAAGCTTAAAACTGATGTGAATAAGGAAAATATAAAGCCTAAAACTGATGTGAATAAGGGAAATATAAAGCTTAATACTGATGTGAATAAGGGAAATATAAAGATTAAAAGTGATGTGAATAAGGGAAATATAAAGCTTAAAACTGATGTGAATAAGGAAAATATAAAGCCTAAAACCGATGTGAATAAGGGAAATATAAAGCTTAAAACCGATGTGAATAAGGGAAATATAAAGCTTAAAACTGATGTGAATAAGGGAAATATAAATTCTAAAACTGATGTGAATAAGGGAAATATAAAGCCTAAAACTGATGTGAATAAGGGAAATATGAAGCTTAACACTGATGTGAATAAATCTACAGAGTAAAGGAAAAAATATATTTACAACATAAAAAAGAATTGATAATGTTTGATAATGAGGAATCGAACAAAGCCGAAAATGTGTTTCTACTATTTTGCTTTTCTTTTTTAGGTTAACTGTAAAAGAAAATAAATGTGTCAATCTACAGCTTTAGTTTTGAACTCTTCTATAAAACAATTGAACCTAGAATGTTAAGTTTGTTAAAAAAATGTTTGCCTGACTATTGTTAATATAACAATAAACCCTGTTTAAGAAAACAATTATTAAAGGAAATTGAAAAATTATTGATTTTTTACAGCTTTAAAGACCAAGTTTAAAGTTTTTAAAACATGTAAAATCAATCAGCTGATTTTATTTGATTTATTTTTATCTCACCTTAAATTTTAAACATTAGAAACAATTTTTCTAAACTGTGAAATATTTTTTGACTTTGATGGCAAAAAAATACCAAGAAATAAATCAAGACGATTTTAATCATTAAAAAATAATTTACAGATTAGAATTTATTAACATTAAGTGGTTTTTTTTATTTCTTAGTATAATAGTTTCTTCCTGCTCCAATGTTTTGATTTTATAACGATTAAAAGTTTTTTAGAGATCTGTATTCACTGTTTAGTTTATTGATTATTATATAAACACTGACACAGTGAGAACCAGAAAACTGTGGAATAAGAAGACGACATTACAAAGCAAATAGTTTTGATAGTAACTTATTAAATCATTAACTAAGTAAATAGGGTCTGTTTGCACTCAGATTGTTGGACTATGTAAAGTTATAACTTAAGTCTTAAAGTCGTCTTCCTATGCCAGAGTTTAATTGTTCTCAAAGTAGGCATGGCATAACTTAGAGAAAAAATAAGACTAAGATTAACAATATGCAGGCATGTATGTTGCTTTAATACTTATAACTCATCTGAATTCTTGATTTAAAATCATAAACTTTCATCACCACATTTTTTCCATTCTTTCATTTAAGCTGAAAAAAAAGATTTTGTCCATGAATATTGCGCATAAAAAGTGAATTCCCTCTATACTATAATACTAGTATTGTATATATCTATATCTATATATATAGATAGATATATATTTCTAGATTTATATATCTTTTTTATTTCAGCCTCTTCCCCCGCATCTGAGGATGAGGACACTAGTACTAGCGAAAGTGAGTCCAGTTCCGACATTGAAGACATAGACCTTGAATTTGATTAATGAAAGCTACACAAGCCAAGCACAATCAAGATCCTCAATCGATCTTATGATGTCATATCATTTACTTTTAAATTGTCTTCAGTTCAACAATCTATAATTATGCTGTAATAATGTCTGATGTATTAACGTTAATTACCCTAATTACCTGTTTGAATTACGAGCCGAGTCTTTTCCCCCTCCCCTTTTGTATCAATACCTTTCGACCCCTCCTACTTGAAGGACTTAATTGTCCCTACGAACTAGGCCTCCCCTCCCTTTTTATCCATACCCTTTTTGCCCCCCCTTTTCTAGAAGGCCCTAATTGCCCCTATGAAGCAGGCCTCCCCTCCCTTTGTATCTATACCCTTTTTACCCCCCTTTTTCATTACATTTTTACTTACCCGAATTTCGCAGTGGTACCATAATTAGCAAAACAACAATTTTGCGAAATTACGCTCAATTTCGACCTAATTTCGCGCAATTACGGCCAAATTTAGCAAAAATTTTCTAAATTAATTTTACAAAATTTTGTAAAATTTCGTAGAATTACACATTATTTGAGAATTTTCAAATTTGCGTAATTAAGACCTGATTTTGTGAAACACAATGATCAATTTCACGAAAATACGCGTTATTTGAGAAATTTCGAATTCGCGTGATTCTAAACTAAAGATTCAAGGCTTATACATATTTTTAATATTCTATATCTATATATTTTAACCATTCCATATATATTTATAAAGGATGTCTTAATTTTAGTTATTTCAAGGTATACATTTTTTAGCACATTCTGAGCAACATTATTATCCTTGTTCATCCCTCTTTTTTCTCCGAGAGAACAGTGTAAATATATATTTGTGTTCGCCCAAGGGAGAGAAAGTGATAAATTACAAATTAACATGAGAAAAAATACACAACTCTTTTAGTATTCAGACATATTAATATCATCAACAACACAATTTAATATACTTATTAATTAATATTGAAAAGTTTAATCGGTTAATAATGTTGCTAAAAGAATATGATAAAACAACTTATTTACTTGTAGAGAGAATTTCCTTCGGAAGAATTTCACTTCACCGGAAATTGACTTTTCCTCATGTTTCTCGACTTTTTTGATGACATTTTTTTCCCTCGCTTGCGCTCGTGATAAAATTTCCGGAAGCACTTAATAAAATTACTTAAATAAATTACTGGTAAGAAATGTAGGTATAGATTTATATTTTCAGAGTTCAAAGCTTAAAAATTGAAGGAAAGGGGGCGCCAGATGCGAAACGCCCTATAACCCTAGTATTATATGCATGCATTACATTTCAAGAAATGATACGTTCTATACTGATCGATTTCGTCAATTGTGCGTAATTACGCGTAATTACACTTTAATTTAGCCAAACTAGGGTTTATTTCATACACGTAATTAAAGCGTTATTTTGCGTAATGCTCATGCATAAGTTAAAGAAATTGTTATGCGTAAGTACGTTACTTTCGAGTAACGTAAATAGGACTAGAAACCCTATCAAATAATGTGAAAAAAGTTTTTAAAAATAAAATGGAGACTTCCAACAACTCTCTTAATGGACTTTTTTGGAATGCCTAGAGAAACCCAAACTAGCAAGCCATGAGTTTTCCTTGCAGTGGAAATAAAACAAATTTTAACTGAAAATATGTACCTTCTAAGCTCAGCTTAGCAGTGATATTTACTTTGTTTTTAGTAATACTATTGTTACAATCCTTAGATGAAGATATCTCATTTTCAGTTTGGCTTAACTGAACATACCTAAATTTTAATTAATCTTAAATTCTCAATAAAAACTCAATGAACTTCTTTGAAGAACCGGCCCAACTTTTGTTTATTTTATGAAATAATACTTTAACATTTTATCAATAATATTTTAAA